ACCCACTGAGACAAGCAAGGAACTGATTCTGTGGCGACCTGTTCACCTTGCTGATAAGATGAATTGAAGCCTGCTACGCTCGCTGGGACAGCATTTGATTCCCAGTCACAGTACGCGCCGTATGTCGAGTAAGATATCCTGCAAGCAATCCATACTGCAATCCTCCTTGAGGCTCCTAGCCTGGGAGGAGCTCTCCTTCAGCTCCTCCTAGGTCAAGAAACGTACTTTCTCAGGCACAGCACAACCTTAATCAAACAGAGACGCACTCAGCCTGTAGTACGCCATCTAATGTATAAGCTCACCGACGATAGTTGGATTGTACAGTCACGGTATCATTAGTTTAAAATACAGAGGTTCATATGAAAATTCCTGTGTGCTCTTGGATTCAAACACTGCGAATGGCTGATATGTGCCAGAGTCGGAAAAGCTGAGGAAATCTGGAAGGGACACAAAAAGTGAAAAGTATTGGGTACCTTAGGACCCTGAACGATGAACGAATATGGGCGAGAGATCAAGATCAGGTACACACATCTGGGTGGGATGGATGAATGGATCGCGCTTCTTAGTTATTCATCCTTCTCTCCATCTGCCTTTCCATCCGTCTCTATGCCTCTCTCCCACTCACCATATACACACTTACACACTTACAACCGCAGTTAGAAGCACATTTTTTATTATACAGATTACAGATTATACATATAATTACATAGACCTTTTCAAACAGCTTCCGCTCGCTTCAACGCCTCCTCTTGGCAATATTTGTGAAGCATATTGCAGCTCATCCTCATACCATCAAGACTCTTCATCGCACCTTCTATCGCCGCATCGAGGCTAAGACTGCTATCCCTGGCTTGCGCTTGCTTCGCACGGAACTCAATTTCCTCCACGATCCGCAACATATTGTTGAGCGCCTTTCGGTCTTTCTCAGCCAACTTCGGGCGCCTTCCCTTTCGTCGCTCATATTCCTCCTGAAACTTTGCAAAGCTTTGACGCTCATCCCAGATCTCCCTTGCGTTCCTGGGCCTCTTGCTCACAGTGAACCCTGGTTCTTCAGATTCTACTTCCTGAGCGGAGACATCAGCCACACTTTCGGATCGATGAGGGGCTAGTGTTGGTTGTGCCTGCGGTCGTGCTTGCGGTTGTGCTGGCGGCGGTACCCAAGCGGGCGGTACCCAAGCGGGCGGTCGAATCGGTGCTGCAATTGGCGCTACAGGTGGTATAAGTGCCCCAGAACTAGTAGGTTGCAGAAGCGGCATCGTTGTCGTAGGTCCAAGCCATGGCACTCTTGATGTCTCCTGGTAAAAAGCTGTGTGTTGCTGCACCTGCTCACCATAATCATAAGGACCATAGGCACAGCAAGTAAAAGGTGGGGTGGGCCTATTCGGAGGATGACGACAGGCACAGGCATTCGATTGCTGCACTTGAACTGAGAGCTGCGCCAGTTGACTTGAAAGATACTGCTGCATTTGCTGCATTTGAGATGCCATCCAAAGGCGAAATGATTCCTCTTGAGTCCTCTGTTGTTGAGACTGAAGTTGGACTTGTCGAAACTTGTCATTGAGAGCTTGGTAATGGCCAGAATACTGCTGTCGTTGATCCGTTATAGCTTCAACCATAATGGGCGGAAGGTCAGGCGGCAGGGTAGTATCCTCTCGGTCCAGTACAACCGCCAGGTCATCCTTGAACTTGAGAAACAACTCCGATTTGAACAGGCTATGCTCCAGAAGCGGTGACTTGGCGCTGCTATGTGTGTGCATATACGCCACGGCGTCCTGCAGTATGACTCGTCGCAGGCGGAGGACCATCTTGAAGAAACGTTTCTTGCTCATATCAGCGTGCGCCTTATGGATAGGAGCACTACCTAGCTCAGACGGTGATGGATCCAGGGGCAAGACATTTTGAAGTTGGTCGGGCTGATCCTCATCCCTCTCATTCATCTCATCAAGACATTCCTGCCTCCATCTCTTGTTGGCTTCAGACCCTGGTTCACCGAATGCAGTCTCGACGAATGGGAAGATCATCTCCTGCAGCTCCACCGGCGGCGATACCTCGTTCCTCTTGAGATGAAAGGGTTTTCCTTCCCGAAAGCCCGCCATACCAAACGCGAACCTGATAGGGATGTTGGACATGTAGTGCTGGTCCATCCTGCCATTGCCACGCACCCACCGGCCTCCAAGCTTGATATCCTCAGCTCGAATACCCAGCTTCTGGGCCTCAATCGTTCCGCTGTGACGTCCAGAGTGTGTGAGATGAACGCACTCCAGTTCCTGAGTCTCAAACGTCTTCAATGTTGTTTCGCGACTTGCCGAATACGACAATGGCGCTAAACGGCTAGCATGGGTTCCTTTTGTTCCTTGCAAAACCTTGATCTCCTTGAAATCCGGGTCGCTGATGTCTGGCGGAGGCTCCTCCCTGTTCTATCATAATTAAGTCTTTTAGTCAGGTAGGAATAAGAACTGTGGTATATCGTGCAAGGTCTGTTTCAACGTACATGGAAGCGATCAAACAGGTAAAAGGCAAAGGCGCCAATGCTACAGCGGCGAACGTCGCTATGCCTTAGAGCGCACCCGTACTGCGTATGGCCGCTTCGATTGGTCTTGCCGCGATGCATTGCACAGACGAGCGCCAACGCTGACTGCGATCCTCTGTCTCGGTTTTCGACCTGTATCATGAAGCAGTCCACGAGGTTCAAAAGACAGAGGTCCTCATTGCGTAGAATCATGCTATGCCGAATTGCCAAGGCCAGATGTTCCCTCGCCCAGGGTGACAGGATCGTAATGGGCTGGGCCCATGTGTACAACAGACACTTGATGTGCTGAGCGACGGTATAGGCATTTCGGATCTCGCACTCAGCTGAAAGATCCTTGTGGTTCACAAGGATGCCAACTACAAGGTCGTTAGAGTACTTGTCGATGGCGTTATTGATGAGTGACGATTTACGAAGCTCGGGCTCCTCGTTCGGGCGTATCGGACGTTTGCTCTGTCTATCCTGGAGATAGCAAAGTGCCTTCAGCGCATTCTCCATGGTCTGACGGCCACAGGGGACGCTCAGCACCTTCCGCCCTTTCGCATCCGGTTTGATATCATGCAGGACTGTTCCATATGTCATATGTATGAAAGGAAGGCCACCATGTAAACAGTTAATGGCCTGAGAGTGCGAGCGTCACGAAATTCCTTTCTTTTGTGCATACCTTGTGCCAAAGTCAGTATGTGGTCCTTTGTAGTGGTCGATTTGAACATATACGGTGTCCGAACGTCTCTGCTCTGGTTCATACTGAAGTACTTCTTGGTGGTTGACTTGAACATGACCTCCTTGAAGAATCGAAGCACCTTCACCTCGGAAACATCGTAGATGTGAGCCCTTCCGCTGTCTCCGTTGATATTGCCGAGAGGAAGATTGCTGCAAAATTTCTAAGAGATAGAGAAGCGACAAAACTTGGTTATTGAATCAGCTCCATCGCAGCCATGTCTGCTCGCCAGCGACGTATGTTGCTGTCGTCATTTACTAAGAACTTTCTCAAGTGCGTCTTGTATTGGTTCTTGGTGTTAACGCTCAGGTTCGAGGTCTGCAAAGCGAGGGCTTCTCTCATGATCTCGCTGTCCGTCGATTCACCATGGTCCCCTGCCATGCCGCCTTCAGTTTGGTAAAGATCCGGTGGGGCTATTAGGTATTGTAAAATCGCTTCAAACTTGACTAGGAATAGATAGTTGATTATTACGAGCAAGAGCCTTCGGTGCCTTTCACTGGGTTGGATTCCACAATGACAGCATTCATACCATGAGTATTAAGCTTGGCCTCGTCGACATCCACGTTTTCATCCTCGGTTGTTTCCTGAATCGAGAGCCTTCGCGCTGACCCGCCATTGATCGATTCATTAACCGACTCCTCATCCGAGTCCGAGTCGTAATCTGAGTATGATTCAACTTCTCCGTGTAATGGCTCGTCGGTCATATCCAGTAATGCTGGGTTATCCGCAATGACTACATTGACACAGAGTGGATTAATGAGGAGGGTATAAGCGTGCAAGTCTATGACAATGGTGCCTGAGATAGCAGGGCAAGCACTCTTGTTTAGTGCAAAGCCCTACTCTCTAACTCTCTACCCCCTGATTGTTCGATCACGAACCGTCCAAGTGAATGAGTTCCTTGATCCTCCTCGAATGCTTTTTTGTAGGTTGCTTCTCGGTCGACTGGGCATCAGCGCGGCTCCTTGGTCGCTTTCTTTTTTCTGAGGCAAGAGAGCTGAGTGCTGACATGAGGGGTGGAGGGTGGAGGATAGTTCAATGAGGGAAGTGGAATGGGAGGAGGAGGGGGAGCAGCCGCAGGTGTGGAGCAGTTGGTGATTTGTAAGTGAGTATTGACTGGGCTGGAGGTTGTTGCTGTGAGCAGACGGACAGGCAGAGAGGAAGAATGAGAGAAAGAGAGCAAGCTGCAAGCAAGGGCGGCATGTGGTGAATGTCATGACCATTTGGCCAATGAAACTCGACCATACGATTTAGAGTTCATAAAAAATTGTACTGGGACGGAAATTCCCAATGTACTGACCACCACCATATGTCAAACCCAATGTACTGGCTCGCCGCACGTTGTACTCAGCGCAGGAAATTTGAGAAATTTTTGGAAGCGCCACCCGATACAGTCCACATTCGGATTAAGGTACATACACCTTGGCTCTTGACCCGAAATATAGTCGACGTATGATTTGGGTCGTACCTAGGTGTCGAGGAGAATCAGAATCTGGCAGGACCTCCATTCGCAACTGCTTTGTCCATATCCCTACTATGCCTAGAGAAATGCAGGATCATCTACGAACAGCCGCCAAGGACGACAGGGACGACAAGGACGACAAGGACTATGAGACGGGATTAAGAAAAAAATTTATTGACTCTCCTCTGGCTCATTGTCAGGCGCTTCCATGGTATCAATGGTATCAATAGTAACTTGCCTCTCCAACCCTACTTCAAGCGCAATCACATCACTCAGTATACCTAGCCTGTCTCTCACGATTGCGGCAATACTGCAAGTAAGCGACTGTGCAGGCTGGACGTCAGAGGATAGCAAGCGCCTCTTTTTTGAGAAAACACAGCGCTGCATATGTTCAAAGCTTCCTGAAGACCCTGCACCACCTGCTCATGCGATTCTCCCTCAAGGACGCCCGGTTCTTGAGAAGAGCCCACGTCCGGCGGCAGTTCCATCTTATGTTGGCCAGGTCGACGCTCCATGATACGCTTAGAAGCACTGCTCTTGAGTGGTTTGACATCGTTGCTACTCTGTAAAGAATAATTGGTATCGGCAGGATGATCATCTTCACCTTCATTGTCCTCGTCAATCAAGGTTACACTCCCAGCCGGTAGGATGAAGCTTTTAAACTTCTCGCTGATGGATACACTCTTGATGGCACCCATGAGCTGCTGTGTGGGGCCTTTGCCCTTGCAACACTTGGGGTACGTGAGTATACCAGAATACTTCCACCGTTTGATGGCTTCTGCACGATGTGGGTATAGTTCTATTAGCTCTTGCTTGAGCTACCCCGTTTCATAGTCCTTGTCGTCCTTGTCGTCCCTGTCGTCCTTGGCGGCTGTTCGTAGATGATCCTGCATTTCTCTAGGCATAGTAGGGATATGGACAAAGCAGTTGCGAATGGAGGTCCTGCCAGATTCTGATTCTCCTCGACACCTAGGTACGACCCAAATCATACGTCGACTATATTTCGGGTCAAGAGCCAAGGTGTATGTACCTTAATCCGAATGTGGACTGTACAATCCAACTATCGTCGGTGAGCTTATACATTAGATGGCGTACTACAGGCTGAGTGCGTCTCTGTTTGATTAAGGTTGTGCTGTGCCTGAGAAAGTACGTTTCTTGACCTAGGAGGAGCTGAAGGAGAGCTCCTCCCAGGCTAGGAGCCTCAAGGAGGATTGCAGTATGGATTGCTTGCAGGATATCTTACTCGACATACGGCGCGTACTGTGACTGGGAATCAAATGCTGTCCCAGCGAGCGTAGCAGGCTTCAATTCATCTTATCAGCAAGGTGAACAGGTCGCCACAGAATCAGTTCCTTGCTTGTCTCAGTGGGTTCATAGGGACGACAGTCACCCTTGGAGTATAAAGCCGACCCTTCTCCTCGAGGTTTTTTCTTTTCTCTATCGTTCTATTGGACCAACTGGCCTGCTAGATGCTCTCTAAGGCTCTGCGTAGTGGAGTTCTGCCGGTTCCTACTCTATATCTCGAGTACGCCTCTTAACTGTGGGCGTGTAAGGAGTAGGGGCCCGACGCAGTGAGGGCGTCAAGTTGCTGTTGTGTTCTGGAGGCTCGACCCCCTTTGGTGGCGCGAGCGGGTCCTAAACCCTATGAAGGTAAGGCTCGTAGCTCGCCACTGGGGTTCTCCGAATGGATCATGCTTGACCGGGTATTGGTTTACTCGCGATTAAGTCTTTCCGTCGGAGGTTGCCCTCTTTTGAGGGTGCTCTTTCGGGAGCAGGGCCTTCAGACGCAATGGCATACTTCCTGCGGGAGGCACCTAGTAAGTTGGAAGGTCCAGGCCCTGGTGCATTACGCCTCTCAAAGTATGTATCTTTCAGTTGGCCAGAATTTTTGGCACCCCTTCTGGGGTCAGTGCTTCGGCACTACACTCTTTTTTTTCTCAAAAAAAAAAAAAAAAAAGACATACTCACATACTCACATACTCACATACGTAAATAACTAAATTTAAAAACACAGGGAGAAGCAGAGAAGGAGAGGTAAAAGAAGAGATGAGCAGAACGCTTGCTCATTGCAAGTACATGCTTCATTTGAAACGTGTCCCATCAAGTGCTGTGCGTAGTTTTAAATGCTTTGTGGAGAAATAAAGTTGTCCGTCAGTGCAGCTCTATGGCTCACATACAGCCTTGTTATTAGTTTTTGTTTACACATGGCGCGTATGATAGTGCATGAAGTCCCAGTTTTTGAACGAAAGCACTGGGGTTTTTTTTATGCTGGACATGTCTATCGATTATTCCTGGATGCTGCACACCTCAATGCGCGCATTGTAAAGCTTGCACCGTCCATGATGCCCTAGCTATTGATTGATTATAGCGCATTGTGATAACCAATACACACATTCGCGCACAAAAAAAACAAATAAAAGAGGGCATGTCCAACCTGGATGTCTAGGCGGTTCACGAAATATCACCCTTGCCTATCCAGAAAAATAGACCCACCACTCACCAGATATGCTAACACCGCCAACGTGCTATACAACTTGAACGCCCATCTCAAATTCTTGTTTGCGAATGATTCTTCCCGTGCGCACTCAAGCAGCTCTACATATGTGGACGGACCAAGGGCAGGCAGCTGTGCCTTGACTCATGCTTTCTGTCATCGTTAGGACATGAGCGTTAGTCGCTTGAATCAGGATCAATCCCGCTACAGCTTCCTGCATTATTTTCATTTTTTTTATTTTTTTTATACCCAAGCACCCTATGGACACGCAGTAGCAAATTCATATTGTCTATGTATTTATATCGAGTTTTCGCTGGGGAGGAAGTATATCCTTGTAAAGTGTCCTATTAATGCGCTCTAGACTAATAACAACAATATTAATAGTTACTTAACCGCCAGAAATGTAACTTGGACCTTAAATTTGCGTTGTTTGGATGCGGATCAAACTAAAGCAGGTTGGCATATACCGGCGCTCTTTACTGTGCCACTCTCTATCCAGCCTTCAAAATTAGCTGGAGCGAGGTATATATATGCAACAGAACCCGTGGCGTAATTGCTCCCTGGTCGAGTGATACGAGGTTGCTTTTTTTTTTTCGGTTGATGGCTTCTTTGTGCTGCGAAGGGGCTGTCCCAACAAGCTGCTTTGTGTGATGCAGATAATGATTTCGCTTGCACCATGGGAAAAGATGATAGACACACAAAGCAAGGCAATACAGTGTAGTCGCGAACTGAAAAAGGAAAAAGAAAAAAGAAAAGAAAAGGATAGAGTCCGCATATTGTGATGCTGCATTGCCCTGGCGTAAGTGAGGAGAAAGAGGAGCGAGCGCGCAGTGAGAGAGATAAGATGGATTGAGGGGCGATTCGCTGGAACTTTATTCGCCTTCACTTTCCCCACAGATTTGGTCTCCCCAAAAATTATCTTTCCGCACTAGACTGCACAAGAGCCATTCAACAACAAGCCGGCACAGGAACCAGACTAGGAAAACAACTAATAAAACTCCTTCGGAAGGGTTGTTCGAGGGTTTGATGGGGGGAAGGACAGGACGGAGTAGCAATTGAAAGAAAAAGAAAAGAAAGAGCGGGTCAAGAAAGTGTCTTCATCCTCTTCCACATTCCGTCATCGCATCCTCCATTGCATCGACATCCCTTCTCTTGCCTTTGACTTTACCCCTCCCCTTCTTTGCCTGTCCTCGACTTTGTACTTGTCTGTCTCACTTTCATTTGTATCGCACCGCACTGCACCGTACCGCATCCGATAATTATGCATCCCCCATTGTCCATTTCCTTGGCCCTGCAGCCACCTTCCTTCCACAGTCTGCCAGCCCACTCCAAGACAAGACTCGCCACTACAGCAGCACCTTCAACAGCGACAGTAGCAGCGGCAACGCGTTCTCGCCGAGGATCGTCGTCCTCGTTGTTGCCATCATCATCATTGTCATCGTCACCATCATTCTGCTACTGCCGTTCACACGCACCAGCCGTTTCTTCGCCACTGCACCAATTGACTGCTGCTCCACCCAATGCTGTTCCTGTTGCTGCAGCAGTACATTTGAACGCGCACTTTATGGGGACAGGGGGCAGTCGTGGAGTCTCCTCTTATTGTTCGTCATCAGCATCATCATCTTCGGCAACATTGGCGATATCAGCTACGAGCAGTGCAATTGCGCCCGATAACTATAACAGGTCCAGTAGAGATAAAGCCTCTATCGCAACGGATCAAGGCGTCCTCGCATCCACTGTGGTCTCGGTCTCGGCCCTACCTTCTTCCTTGCCCTCTCTGTCTTCTTCACCTTCTTCGTCCGTGCATCTCCCCACTCTTCATTCTCATTCCACTTTGGCATCACTTGCATCGCCCGCGATTGATTCAACAGCTGGATCTCCACCCGACAGCACTGCTCCTCATACGAGCACTATTCGATCATCAGGTACAGTACATACTATATATATACAACACGTATATTTTTATTTTTTTTTAGATCGATGCCATTCGGAACCCTCCAGCTATAATGCCATACCATCCAATTGGTTACGTTCTTTGCCACCGTTTGACCCAATTGCTTTTTGAAGGGGTCGGGTGGGGGCAGTGTCCATTTATATTTGACAAGCGCAAACACATGGTCGCACGACAGCAACCCTCCGCACTATTCTGCTTTCATTTTTTCATTTACAGAGACGCAGTTTGCCACAACAAAAGTGCATGGACCAACAACCCCGCTTGGTGGTTAGATTTTTGCATGAATGATAAATACTCGCTATCTATCTTATTGTCTATAGCCCTTGTCTAGTCCCTGTCTAGTCCTTGTCTAGTCCTTGTCTAGTCCTTGTCCTGATAATCAACTTTGCGCGTCTATTTTTTGTCACCTATGCGTCTCCATGATGAAATGCATTTCTGCCTACAAGCGGCACCTCGAATCGAGTGCATGCCTAACCCGTTGAACTCCTTCTCTCCATATCATTTATATGACATTCCGGTCCATTCCTAACCTTTTCCCGTCACCGATGCAGGCTCGAACAGTGTGCTTTGGAAAGGTACATAATGAAAGGAACACTCTTCATGTCCAAAAGGTGTCCTTGCAATTACTCTTTTTTTTTCTCCTTTACCTCCACGTTATGGACCCTTGCACCGTCCTGCTGGACCTTTCAGTCTCAATCTCAAACCATAGTTATCTAACCACGTTTTTTCACTCAATTTGTGTACCTGTCCCTCCATTGCATTTGCATGCACGATTCGAAAACAAGCCTATTCGCGTGTCAAGCAGACCATTGCCGAGACCCACACCCCTAATCCTCTCGACACCATGACCGAATATTGGTATTCATTGGGTTCCCCACGGTCTCAGGACCTTCACCAGCGTCAGCAGCAGCGCCATCATTACACCGATATGGATTTAGTTGTCGATACCAACCCCTATACGGAGGAGCCATCCATCTCGGCACCCTCCTCTGCTTCGCCACCTGGTTCTTCATCCTCAGCCCCCTTGTCACCGTTGTCGCTAAGCAAGATTGACGGCGGTAACAACAAGCACAACATCAAAGAAGGACCCAGTAGCGGGGCGTCAGCCAGTACCGATATTGCTTCATTGACGCCATCATCCATATCGGGATCATCAACTCGATCTCCATCGCCTGGATTAAAATCGAGTCAGTCCATCAATGGACTTTCAACATCGTTGACGAGAGCAACGGTCTCTGCGCGTTCGTCCTCTGCGTCTGCTCTTGTTGCAGTTGCATCATCGCTTCAATCGGTTCTTCAATCCACGGTGACGGAGGAAGGACGTCGACTGCTGGCCCAGCGATCTAGGACGTCACTGAACAGGTTGCTGGACACGGTGTTGGATAATGCGACTAGTCTTGCGGAATCGAGCACGGCACATGAGTCGTATTCGGAAGAAGAGGCTGTCGCACAGCAAGGTCAGTCAAAGAGACCGACAGGAACGCCACCGTTGCAACGAAAGACGACCACCCCGAGAGTTAAGTTCTTTGTCTGTGAAGAGAGCGAGGAGGACGAAAGCGAGGAAGAACTGAGGGAGGAGTCCGTATTCAAACATCGTGTCTCGGGTCAAAGAGCGCAGACGATGGCGCCTTCGAGGATGAATGAGGAGGAGCACGATGGTGATTGTGAGGATTTCGATATGCAGGAGGACGAGAAGGATGAGGTGGATTTGTTTGGCAAGAAGATGCCAATTACTTTCGGTTCTCGTCGTCAGGGACCTTCACCGCTTGCTATGTCCGCTGGATTTAAGAGCACAGTCATGGGGAGACGACAATCGTTGCTGTCCGATCTATTGAAGGCGGAGAAGCAACAACAACAACGACAACAACAACAACAACAACAACAACAACAACAACAACAACAACAACAACAACAACAGCAACACCAGATTAGCCCTGCTAACTCGGATGGTGAAGCAACCATTAGCAATATGACTGCCACCATGATGCCGCGCATATACCCGGTGTCCCAGCAGGCAAATAGCAGTTTCCGTCGCGAGACGATGTCCAGACCGTCTTTGGTTAGAACCAAGAGGGTCTACAAGAACTTGGCGGAGATGGCCAAGACCTCGAATGCCGCTCATGTTTGATCACCCGTATTTTCTCAGCAGGACTGGAAAACAACAACTCTCTACTCACTTTTTTGTAGTCGATGGATAGCGACCACACTGCACCGCAACCACTACTACTGTCATCACTGCATTGTCATTACCATTCGCATATTGTTCATACCGCACCAATCCATCAACGTCGCAACCGAAGGTTTTCATCTGGATTTTGAACTCGATGTCTCAACAATACAGCGTAGAGCATTGTTTTATATATTCACGCATAAAGAACCAAACACTCACCACTGTGATCAATACAATGCTTTCGTTGTCTGCTAACTTGTAAGAGTTGAAGGGTCATCGCATGGCAAACGAAAGTCGAGGACTACTCTTGTAGTGTACTATCATTTTTTTATCCACGCACGACAGTTGGGCAGCATGAGCGATGGCTAAGTAAAGCTCAATGGGCTATGCGTCACATTCGCGCTATTGGGGGATCGTTGGAGCGGATATTCTATAGCTCTCATCGTCATGGCGCTCCGTCCATTGATCCATTGTGTGCATCCTCTTCTTCGCCCCACCCTTTCGCTTCTTTGAGCCCTTTCCTCTCCCCACCTTTTTCTTTCTTGAGACAGCAAAGAACATGAACTACGGCCAGACACGCAGGCAAAAATCGGTTTTGGAGACCTATATTGGTATAAAATAGTATACGATCAGGCTGCCATGGTACCTCATGAGGTCGTTGCATCGCTCACCGAAGCATGTTGTATTCACGTCTCTTCTTTGGCAATAGAACGCGCCTGTGATCCAACCCGATACGAGCCGGATCTAGCGTTGAATCTCGAGATCTGCGATGTTATCAAAGAGAAGCAGAAGAACACGTATGGAAAGCTGCTGTGCCTCAATCGGACAGCAATTGAGCTTTAACCATGGTTGGGGAGCGTAAACGATCCCTGAACATCTGAACACCGCCGATTAACGCCAATGGATGCTGGTTCATAATTCACCTTTAGACCGCGAGAAGCAGCTATCTATATCGTGCGACTCATTAATCACAAAAATATGCATGTTGGCATGTTGGCTCTGACTGTAAGTAAACTCGAGCTCCAACGACCTCCAATACTTCGCGTATATGATACCTTCCATGATCAAGGATAACCGTTCCATTGCATCGTTCATGCTCGTTTCAATCATAGCTTCTAGACAACTGTGTCAAAAATTGCGGCTACCCCTTCCACTTGCAGATCGCGACCAAGGAGTTCCTCAATGGCTTGGTCCGCAAGTTCCCGGAGAGGCCTCTCACGGTCCCAACACCAGTGCAGACGCGTATTTTGGAGCTCATTCAGGAATGGTACACAACGTTGTGCAAGGCGTCGCGGTACAAGGAGGATCTCGTCCATATCAGGGATATGCACCGATTGTTGGCGTTCAAGGGATACCGTTTCCCGCAGACCAAAACGACAGCGGCAGCGGCAGCGGCAGTGCTGAACACTTCAGATGTAAGTATTAATCAGCTTTTTTTTTTTTTTTTTTTTTTTTTTTCTTCGTTCAGAATGTCTTTTAGCGGTCGGTGAGCACAAATACCAATAAAACAATTTTCTGTTATCTGATCAATGAAAATAGTCCTTAAAGTCGCCAGCAGAGCTCGAACAAGAAGATCGAGTAGCGCAAGCAGCTGTAAGACACCGTGGAAATCTTGTGGTTATTGAGTCACCGAATGGACCTGTCTATTGATTCTATATATATATATATTTTTGCTCTAGAAACTTCAAGAGCTAATTAGGAGAGGACGACCGGAGGATGTGCGTGCGGCAAACGAGCTCGTTAAAAAAATGACAGGATATGTAAGCATCTTCAAACAGTGCTATCGATATTCTCCGAACTTTTAACCAGTGATCATTACTGACCCTGTATCAATCGTGCTTCTTGGAAAAAAAAAAAAAAAAAAAAAAAAAAAAAAATACCAGGAGCAAGAGGACAAACCAAATTATGCGGAGCAGGCTTCTGCGGAACAACAAAAAATCATGCAAAAGGCGGCGTTTTTGACAGAAATGCTAAACGATGTCAAACCTGGAGAGATCATAGGAAGAGGTGACATTTTCGAGGTGAGGTTCTTATCCGCTCTTTTTGAGTTTCATGATGATGTTTAAAGGCGTCGTCTCTACACTTACTAACGTGCTTCTTCACCCTTTATTCTTTTCAGGAACTGTACCAGACCTGCAGGTCAGCCCATGTCAAGGTCAAGAAGTTTATCAGCGACGATGAGGATCCTGACAACATGGGTAAGGAAGGGAGCAGAGTCTGACTATGCGGAGCAAATTATTTCCACCGCCTTTGACTAACATCTCGCGCATGGTTGTTTGACTCCACCTTATTTTAGACAAGCTGCTACAACTGAATGAGGCTTTGAGTAACGTGATCGAGCAGTACGACCAGGTCAAGGGCGGAAACCTCGTCAAGGTCGCGGTTCCTGACATTAGTGAGGAGAGCAATGGTCAGGGCAGGCAGGGATCTATTCAGCAGGCATCATCACCGCAGCAGCAGAAGAGAGAATCTTCGAGCAACCTGTTAGATCTTGATGACTCGCCCAGCGGATCTCCGACGGCCACCACTCCAAAGACAACAGGCAAGGAAATGAGCAACAACTATTCTGCAGGTGCAGCTGGATGATGCGCATACAGTGTCTTAATTAACAATCCTGTATTCCTTTTTTTTTTTTTTTTTTTTTTTTTTTTTCTGGTGCATCATTTGATAGGCAACCTAATGGATGATCTTATGAACCTCAACTTCAGTGACATTACACCACCACCTTCGTGGGGTGCTGCTGGATGCATCAATCTCGGCCAATCTGATAGCAGCAGCAGCGGTAGCAAGGCGGGTCTCGCTTCATCGTCCTCCAATGGTATGTGAAAACATGCAGCCGACACATTTTCATATGACATACAGTGCCTAATTCCCTAATGTCACTGTAATCTTAGGTGGAGCACCCAGTTACAATATGTTTGCGTCGCCCGTTGCCAGCGTCAACCCAGTTTCTGTCGAGTCGTCCTCATCCACGTCCTCCTTGAAGCCTGTACTGGCAACGGCATCACCTGTACAAGCCATGTCATCGCCAATGGACGATTTCGAGTTCGTATCCAACACAGGAGCTTCTCCACAGGAAAACGGTATATCAAATGGTAAGCGTTATTCCGGCGATCATATGGTGTATGGTATCTTTTGTAAATTGTTCATAAATGAATTATTCATGCTAACATTTTCGTGAGCGTGTTTTACCCTTATTTCGCCCTTCTCGTCTACAACCAGTCGTCCTCATAAACAAGAATGGACTACAAATCGACCTTGATATAGAGAAACAATTTAACTCAGACCGGGTCTACAAGGTTAAGGCGTACTTTTCTAATCACCAGAACAGCCCTCTTACGGCCCTGACATTCCGTGTCGCCGTTCCAAAGAAACTGCAGCTCAAGCTCGACCCTCAGTCCGCGCAGGCCGTTCCGCCCTTCAGTAAACAAGCGGTGACTCAGGAGATGACGATCTGGGCTCCTGTGGAGACGGCGGTTGTGAGGATGAGGTATCATGTCTCTTATGTGATCGGTGGTAGAGTGATAGAGGAGCAGGGCGAGTTCTCGCAGTTTCCTTGATGATGAAGGAGATGCTGCTATATGAAAACATAATATACGCATAACAATATAATTCCGGTCGAATGAAGTGCAGCTCATGTTCTATACCTTCAGAGTGTGACAGGCAATATGACACGATAAAGATGCTGTGCTTCAGAGGTTTAGCAAGTGAGTGATATGTACGCACATAATAGCACTTGATCAGGGGAGGGGGAGCAGCATGAACGCACTCTAATACCGCTCTTTGTTGGATCTTAACCTCCAGCGAGAATGCTGTTTACCTCCCTATAAGAATTCCGTTACAGAGGATTATCCTGCTCCCTTGAACACTTTTATCTCTTCCTAAGATTTCAGGCACTACTTTTTTGCTTCCATTGTACGACCATTCCAATGGAGACTTGACTGTGCAATGACAAGATAAAAACAGAAAGGTATCACGGGCGATGGAATATGTGGGATAATGAGGGAGGGGAGTGAAATGATGGGGCAAGATGGTCCATGGTTGAAGCTTGTGGACTATGGTTGTACAACGGAAGCAAAAGTGGTGCCTGAAATCTTAGGAAGAGACACAAAGTGATGTTCGATAATCCTCTGCAGCGGGATTCTTATAGGGAGCTAAGATGCAACTCTTACAGGGGGGTTATTCCATTGACGAAAAACCTGCTTCACGAGCGGCTACTTCAATGACCATTGACCTGGCACGCGGTAGTTGGTGAACGCGTCGCGTTCACTATAGCGCGTTTCAATTGAGCGAAACGGATTCGAGCTCCCCCAAAAGCCACTTTTCCCCACATTAAACCCTTTTTCGGGGAAGACAGGGGTCCAACGATCCCCTCGAATCGGATTCACTCTTTTGTCGATCACCCAGGAGCACCAGGAAAATGGCATTCATGCAGGCGCAGATCACCATGAGGGCCTTTGGAGCTGTAGAGCTCGGACACTGCGGCCCTTACAGGACAGTCGCGCGACATGTCTCGACGTCTACAGTAGAGTCTTATCTTTCAGTTTCGCAAGTCATCCTACTACTTCACACTACGGATTTATTGCAGCTCAGGAAGCATTGGACTCATTACTGCCAGCTATCTATACTATATTGAACACTGATAGTTTCGACATCGTGTCTCCAAGACTCTGGTGCCGACCTCGAAGCAGAAGTTTGTCCATGTCGCCGGTCAGGAGATGGTCCCTAGTCAGCAGCTTCTACTCCGCTCCGGCATGATGCGCCAGGTACATCCCATTCAATTGGTCAATTCGCAGGATAAGAACCCATCCTCACCTATCACCGTGGCATTAATGTAATCGAGGGTTCTGATCTGTCAAAGTAGTCATCATCTGGTATCTACTCCATCCTTCCATACGGTCAGCGGATCCTCGACAAGATTGAAGGGATCATTGATGACGAGCTGGAGAAGATCGGATGCCAAAAGCTATCACTGCCAAATCTGCTCACCGCCGAAAACTGGAAAAAGACAGGCCGTTGGGAAAGTACAGGACAGGAGATGTTCAAGGTCAAGGATCGTAAGGGTGCAGATTTTTTACTGGCACCGACACATGAGGAGGAAGTCACCACTTTGATCGCTAAGGAAATCCAAAGTTACCGTCAATTGCCCATTCGCGTCTATCAGGTTGGAAGAAAGTTTCGAGATGAGCTGCGAGCAAGGAGCGGGCTGTTGCGCGGAAAGGAATTTTTGATGAAGGATCTGTACACATTTGATGTCTCTGAGGAGGAGGCCATGAAAACTTATGATGAAGTTGTGTTGGCGTACAGGAGGATCATGCAGCGACTTGGCGTGCCATATGCTGTCGTAAGTGGTTAGCGATTTTTATGGTGGTTTCAAATGGGATCCTCTACAAGAGATCCGTAGTTAACCCTTGCTCTGTCTCGTTGTAGGCTGAGGCAGACACAGGAAATATCGGAGGCACGCATTCTCATGAATTCCATATTCTTTCAAGAGGTAATAGCTGGGCTATTTATTTGCATGCATCAAGGATGGATGCGTTTGTAGAAACTGATATGAGAGTGACAATTTGTTTGATTAGTCGGAGAGGACTCGCTGCTGTCGTGCGCATCATGCGGATACACCTCAAATGAAGAACGCGCTATCGGTGTAATCCCTACCGATCCCACCAAGGCTGCGACGAAGTTCCGTAACTCTGAAGCAGTTCCCAAGTGGATCGAGTCGCTGGATGTAGTCCCCCGATCTGCTGTGAGAATCAATCCCAAGCTCAAATTCGGAATCATGAAGACCCCCTCAGCTGATGACGCACAACCCGAGATCTGCACAATGGTCGCCGTGGCGACCTCCGGTGACCGTGATGTGAACGAGATCAAGGTATCAAAAGCGATCGGAAAAGTAGAATTTGTGGACTCGCTAGAGGATCTCAAGCCGTTATTGGGAGATACCAAGGTGGACAAGCTGAAGCTGTGCGTGGACCAATCACTATATCCAGGACAAACTTCCTTAAGATCCAAACAGGTGGCCCTCCAGGGCAACATTCCTGATGATCTGAAGGCCATGGTTCGCTCGAGGGATGCCAATGCGGACCTCCAGGTGGTTTATGGTGATTACCACAATTGCAAACCAGATGACGGATGTCCTCACTGCTTCCAGCTCAAGGACTCGATGGAGCCCATGCAAATGACGAGGGCTATCGAGATCGGTCACACATTCATGCTCGGCACCAAATACTCTCAGCCCCTGGATGCGGTGTTTGCGCCGGCGAGTGGCACGACACCGGAGCCGATGCAGATGGGGTGTTACGGCCTAGGTATCACACGTCTGCTGGCATCGATCATCGAAGCCTCGCATGACCACAAGGGCATTATCTGGCCTGAGGCAGTTGCGCCGTTCAGGGTGGTGATTGTGACCTCGGAGGACGAAGGGTGCATCAACGCGGCCGAGGATGTGCACGATGTAGTGCAGAAGGCGCTGAATGCAAAGTCAGAGGTGATTATTGACGACAGGACGGACACGACGCTGGGATTCAAGATGAAGGATGCCGAGCTGATTGGATACCCCTGGATGGTTGTCATTGGAAAGGGCTTCATGAGGACTGGTCAGGTGGAGGTGCAACACCGGAGTACGGGTGAAAAATGGGCATTGGAGTGGGACAAGATCCACCCTTTCTTTCAGGAACGGCAGCTGTGAGAATGCATCATAGATCTTCAAAAAAGTATTAGTTGATTGAATATGATCTGGACTCTATTCCACAGTTCTACAGCTCTAGTTTACAGCAACTGTCAACAAGCACAGCCCGAGGGACAGACACGAATAGAGCCGCGGGAGAAAAAAAAAAAAAAAAAAAGCGGCGGGCTGAAGCTCAGACGAACGGATTGACTGACAGATATGTGGAGGTGCATCTGAGGCGATGCAGCACAAGGCTATCATTGACCTTACAGGCTTACGAAAGAAAAGAAAGCGGGGGCGCCATCTCAACTCATGGGCCATTGACGAACCCACCTTCATACTTCTTCTTTTCTGATTCGACAATACTGATGCTAATCAGTAGGAACCCTCTTCCCCCTCCTCGTCTTTCTTCTCCTATTCTTGTTGCACTCACTCCCTTTTCCACATTGCAATTCGCCCCTTCTCCTTCCTCTTCTTGCTTCCTTCGTTGCTGCAGTCGTTCCATTCAACAGAAAGAAAAAAAGCGCTCTCCTCTTCTTTCCCTTGATTAGCGCCCTCTGTCCTTTTCCCGCTCTTTTCTCTTTCAATTGCCATCGTTCAATTGCTTCCGATAGCGATACAGCACCTTTTCTCACCTCCAATTGTACTATACACACCCTCCTTCTTCCTTCCTTGCTCCAGCGAAAAGAAAAGACCTCCCCCCCCCCCAGTCGGCCATTTCAACATGTGGAAAACTCTTGTGGGCAAGTTCCAGCCTCTTCCAGCCTCGTCATATAATGACTCGCAGAACGAGCGGGATCTGGAAAGGTGCTGGGACGAACGAGACACGACAGGCGTAGCAGGTATACCCGAGAATACCACCTCACAAGCAGAATTGGCCCAGTACGTTCCTTTTGCGGTTCTTTTATTGGTGTGCCTTGGTATCATCATCATCAGTGACAATAAAAGGTGACAGAGCGCGAGCTTAGCCTCTCTCTCGACGGCGAGGTGGAGAAGAACAGAGGGCTGGACACGGACATAGGATGTTTTTTTGTACCAGACGCGGATGAGCCTGGCTGATCAGCATTGCCATTGCACGGATCCGACAAATCTCTGGAAACCAACGAAAGTGAAGAGCTCTTTTGGACTTTGATGCTAATTGAGCATGTGTGTATTTTGCACGCGCTTTGAATGGCCTATGGTAGACTGCGTACTGCGTTCTTTGCATGTATGGAGGCCGAGCAGGACCAAGTAAGTCAGGGCAACTCGACACGGTTCCTTGAGAAAAATGCGACTCCACTGGTACCCCATCAACACTCTAATCGTGCATGCTACCTTGTTCTTGGTTCTTCTTATCCACGAGTAGCAGCGGTCCCGACAATTTCAAGTTGCGCTACAACTGTTCACCTCGATCTTTGGGCGTCAGGTCTCTGGTCAATTGGTCGCGGAAAGGTAACGAACGAGAGTTCTCGAGTGGAATTCATATCAAGCCCTTTCAGGACTTGGCGAGATCGAATGGATGACAGCGGCAGCACGAGTTCCGACAACGACTTTGCAAATTTTGCGGATATGACCGGAGCAGGGCTGTTTGTTAAGATACTGCGGATAATGGTCTTCAACTGTGCGCGTACCGTCAAAGGAAAACCACTTTATCAAACCATCAGGTCGAAGAGGACCACTCTGTTGTGTGGGTGGGTGTTTATTTATTTTCGTTATTCCAATCACACCAAGGGAAGGCATTCGGAGGGTGATGGTGTGACCAGATCAAGGATACATCTACACATGCGTTTGCACAAATAAATGTCCAAGGAGGGTGACCGCACATGGGAAGATGTGTATAGTCCCAAGGATGTATCTCTCGTTTGAAAACAAGGAATAACGCCAAAAGATTTATGCAACAACGCTTGGATGGGAAGAGGAGCTGCGAGGCATAAACATGACTACCAATCTGTTAGGGGATGGGATAGGGACACTGACCGGTCTTTCTTTCTATCTATCCCGTTTGTCCTTGCATCCTCCCTGCATACTCGCTACCTTCATCGTGTGGATCAACAAACATGTTCGCATATACAGCATCCATGACATCAAGGCTTTCACAGCAATGGCAAGCGCCCAGTTAGTTCAAGCCGTTGATTCTGTTACCCAGCAGTCATTGCCGAAGAGGAAAGCAAGCGTTGGTATGCGCGGGATTGGATTAGATGTATGTGTCTTCAAGCTTTTGCCGCGATGTATCGTCCTGATCCTGATTTCAAATGTCGAAAATAGAATACATGAAAGTTCTCCGCAAGACAGAGACGTTTCATGCTTTAAAAGCAATCGATATTCTGTCAAAGGCACCGGTAAGACATATCCGGAAGGCGTTGCGGAATGGAATGTAGGATCGTGTTATCGATACAAAGTGTGGAAGTGCTTATGCATCAACCTCCTTATTTTCTTCCGACAGGATAATCTCCTGGCGATCCTGGCACAGCAAAAGGTGCATTTGGGACTACTGACAGTATTCTTGACATTCGTTGAGTTTCCGTCTCCAGAATTCGACGAACCCTTGAGCCAGAGCGTAGCATCTATTCTCGTCGTTTCAACACTTACGAACGGACTGAAGAGGCTACTATGGAGGAAACCTGTGATCTCTGTTCTCATTAGCCAGGATGAGTTGTATGGGCTATTTGAGGCATTGGTCATCCAACGTAACAGTAACCTGGGAGGGGATCCTGCAGAGCTGTACATATGGAAAGCAAGGTAACGAACTTATTGATCGAGTAACTACGGCGTTCGACTTTGCGCATCAAAATGGATCTTGACTAATACTAAAATTTTGAACGACACTAGGGTCATGGACGTGGTTGACTTTGTAGTAGAGACAACGGAAACAGATGTCATGCCCTATCTTCACTCGAAAGGGTGCGCCAAACTACTGTCTGACGCATTAAGGGAATACCTCGTTGACGGAAGCATCGATTCCGTACATCGGGAGGAGGGCATTCTCATCTTGCGCATAATTGTCAAGTTGATCAAGGTACTCATACGACCTTCTTTTACGTTCGCTACTAACGAGCACTCTTTATTGCCTGCATCGGATCAGGATGCTAACAGAGCGTTTCCGTTTACTGCAGAAGTCGTCTTTGATGTCTAGTGTATTGTTGGATGACTTTAAGGCAAACAAGATCTACGAGATCCTGGCGATGCTTCTCGTCTCCCCTCCCTTTGACGAAGACATGCTTACGTTCAAGGTTGGTTCATGTAGCAATGTCCAGTCAACTATTAAAAATGCTGCAAGAAGTAGTGTTCTAATACCATGTTCTACTTCCTTGATATTGGACTAGTACACTATCATTTCTCTGATCGAGGAGCTGGCATTCATCGACAAGGAGGCATTGGCACCTCCAGAAGAGGGTACACCTTACCAACACCAAGGTAGAGCTGATTGTGCCAATCATCAAATACATTAATGGACATCTCCCGTCACAACTTGGCTGACAACGTCGATCTCCATGTAGATTTCGTACTTCCTGTCGTGGGCCCTGAACATGGTAAGATTGATGTTTGTTGAGACTAGTCTGATACCGCGAGTAGTACTGATAATGTTTTGGTACCTAACGCCGTTCCGTTATCCTTTTCTGTGGTTTAGCTGGTGCCGTGGTGCGGAACCTGGTGGCCTGCCAAGTGTTGGTGACAGCGCTATTATACCCTGACATTTCCAACATGACGCTCTTACCCGTCGGCAACAAGGACCAGAACGCACCCCCCCATCAGTTTCTGTTGACGGTGTTCTCCACTCTTCTGTCGATCATCAGAGACCATCCCATTAACTACTTCTTGCTGGAGAGGCTGAATATTCTTTCTTGCGCCATTGAGCGTCTCGATACCTATCATCCAGAACTCCAGGTGAGCGTCTTTCTATTTATTCGTTTCCTTGCTGCTATTAAAAAAGGAAAAGAAAATGCCAAATCGACGCTAATTCTCCCTCACTTATTCGCTCCTACAATCGAACATATAGTCGTCTGTCATGGAGTTGTTCACATATGTGCTCAAGGACTTGAATTACGTGCCTTTCCGTGATCTTGTCATCCTTTCAATTCACTTCCAAGGGACGTCGTCACCAAGGACAACAGCACTTGTGTGCGATACCGTCGCTAGTCTCCTGCAGACATCGCATGGATTCAAGGACGTATTGCGTGAAGTTGGACTCATCGACATGTTCTGCAACATGCTGGAGGAACTATCGGTCGTACTGAGAGAGACATTCGGCAGCCCTCAGTTCAACAACCGGATCTCAGTGTTAGATTTCGGAAAGGCGTTCACGCCCGGCGAGTCAAAGCCGCGAAAATACGGGATTGAAGTGGTCCACCATTTCAACAGCATCATGGCATGTCTAGTAGAACTGCTCCGAGGCAGCAGGAGTAACATTGCGCTCTTCCAGTCAACGTATGTCGGTCCACCTTCGCTTTTTAACCACAATAGAAGCAATGTCCTTCAACAGAGCAAGCTGTTAACTTTTTGAGGTATCTCCTTTTACTCTTCATTCTAGTTTCCGAGGCGATCTGTTCTCGCTTTTACACTATAACGAGACCAGGGATGGCATCCTAAGAATCATCGTCGTGCTTGTTGTTGAAAGCTATCGATTTTTCCTGGAGGACAGGGAGGCATCGGCAAGTAAATCGCCGCCAACCAATTCCTCTGGACCACTTACTCAAAAATCGCTGTCTGCTCCATATCAGCTCACCCAACTCTGTGAGATTCTGCAGTCTCTGAACCGATACGACTTCAAAATGAAGATGGCGATCCTCAACGCTCTTAATGAAGTGTTCTTGGAGTGCCCAGAGCTCAAGGATGTCTTCAGAGAAGGTGGTGGATATGTCTCTATTGTCTCGCTGCTGATCCGCCTTGAGGATGCTTACCAGACTATCGAGAGATTTGAGAAACTCGATTTACCGAAGAGGAGACAACGCCGCGATCCAAAGACAAATGAGCGGATCCCTACAAAGGTTGACATGCTGGAGTTGTTCACAAAGGTATTTTCCGTGCTCTCAGAGTCGATGCGGGACCATCCAGGGAACAGCAGCTACTTTGAAGAACATATCGGATTCAGATCGATTGCGGATGCTCTTCAGCTCACAGGAGTCTTTAGTCCCAACGGAGATGCTGCAAGCATGCTGGGGATCTTGTTCGCCTTCGCCACCCAGAACGAGTCTGTATTACACATATTCGACGATCCCGAGGAGATTGAGCAGACGCCTGAGATGGTAGCCAAGTGGCTCAACAGCCCCAAGATCTGCGTTCAAAATCCTCACGTCGTTTTGGGAATCTGGGGGATCTGCGTGAAGTTGCAAGACCAGGAGTCGCTCGCGTTTTGCGGGATGATGTCACTTTTCGCGTTGTCATGCGCAAACAGGAGGAACCAGGTTCTTATGGGTCAGACTGCATTGCTGGATGAGCTTTTGAAGGCGCTTTTCGACAACCCATCGTTGGCGATTGAAAACAGTGGCGATCCATCTTTTGACGAGAACAACGTCATGCGCGATATCATGTCCCGACTTGCGAAGCGATTGATCGAGATGGGCATGTCTTCTGTTGGATTCAGGTATCTCATGGAAAAGTTCAGTGCGACCAAGGAAATTTCGTTTGGAGAGTGCTCTGGCTTGTTGGATATGCTGCTTCACGGCGTTACGCATTCGCGTTGGCCCAGTTTCGTGCAGTTTGATGGGTACAGTCGCCTAGAGTTGCGTTCATTAGGAGCACACAATTTCCCGCCGACAACTGGATACACGTTCTTGGGATGGCTATGCATCGAGTCGTTTGATGAGGAGCTCCCTATTCAGATCCTGGAGATTTCTGATGAAGATCAGCGGTGCTACCTCAGCGTGCAGATTGAACCGGAGACGCATAAGCTTGTTGTGAGCGTTTCGCACCATCACTCATTATCGTTCAACTTTGCATTCGAGATCGGGCGTTGGTACCACCTCGCAATCGTACATTCAAAGCCCAAACTGAGCATACCTGGTGGCTCGCTTTCGGTCTACATCGACGGCATTCTCGGAGACAAGATCAAGTGTGGATATCTTTCCTCACCTAGCGGAGAGGTCAGGGGGTACCTAGGACGACACCAGAAGCCAAAGATGACAGCTAGGAAGGATGGGTTAACCCTTTCTTGGAATCTGGGGCCATGCTATCTCGTAGATGAGCCACTGGATGTACAGATCATGGATGTCCTGTACAACCTGAGCCCGCGGTACCATGGTAACTTCCAGGATTCACTTGGCAAGTTCCAGACATACGAGACCTCAACCGCATTGAACATCAATTTGGAGGCAGCTCGACGCCGATCATCACCCAATAGCCGTAGTCACGAGGAGCAGGTCGCGCTTATGAACGCTATTCGCGGTACAATTGGAAACAGCATTCCAGAAGACAAGCTGGTGTTTGCATTCTCAGGCAGGAATCTGCTGGATACTACAGACACAAGGACTGTTGGGCAACTCGCCGGGATTCAGCAGAAAGATCAGTTCTGCAGGATTTTGTTCAATTCTGCAATCCCCAGGATTCACCGTGGCATCAATCCACTCTCAGCGATTGGGATCCTTGTCGGTAACCCTCTGGTTGCTGCTCCACGCGGACTGGATGATTCGATCTGGAAAGTTGGCGGATGCGTCGTCGCTCTGCGAATTGTCGAGAGTGCAAAGGTAACACCTCTCGCCAAACCGGTTTCTCTTCACTGACAATGCGAGGTGGATGGAACTAACCCTGCATCTACTCTTTCTTTTAGGATACGGCTACGCTGGAGAAAGCAGTTCTGTTGCTGGATCAATTGATCAGATGCAGCTGGAGGAATTCCGAGGACATGGAACGCATCTTTGGTTATGAGATCCTCGGGTATATCCTAAAGCAAAAGAAGACGCTGTTCTCGATTGAAATGATGAACACTCTGCTGAGTGTTGTGGGCATGGATCTCGAATACCCAGAGTAGGTGAACGCCTATCAGAACTGCAAACTCGTGCGGGGAATTTTACTAAGTTTGCTGACCATCATTCTTTATTCGCAACTCCAATGCTATAGTGATTCTGTGATCACGAATTCGTTTGCGTTCAGACATTTGATGCTGGACATGGATATTTGGAAGAAGACAGACATCGAGATCCAACTGCTTCATCTTGAGCAATTCAAGATCTTTTTGCAGCATAGCCACAAGTCCTCCTTGAACGTTAAACGCCTCAGCACCATGCGTAAGTTGCTTATCCAGTTTTCTTTTTCTTTTTTTTTTCTTTTTTTTGTGCCAATTGTAAGTGGCTAATCATTATGATGTATTATTCCTCTGTTTCCAGATGTTGTCAAAAAGATGTTGGCTCCTTTGCGAACTGGAAAATACCCTGCCGTCCAGCTTCCGAGCTATGTTGATGCGATGAAAACGGTCGTTTTCAATCAATTCTCGACGGAGACAGTGCGCAACTTAGCGACATTCCTGGTATCGACTTTAAAGCAGAGTAAGGAGGCGATTTATTCATGTAATTTTATGAATACCCGATGTGACAGTACATTAACAAAAGTAAGTTCATAAAACTACAATAGCCAACCTGAACCGTTCAACGTCGGTGTCATCCCATCGACGAGCGGATTCGGGTGCGGACGATCTGGAGAACGCAAAGGCATCGTTAAATGTTAAGATTGTGCTGGACCCTCGAGAAACACCCATTTCTTCGACTCTCAAGCACGCTGCCATGGGCAATGCTATCATGGAGATGCTGGAGCAAATTTTGTGCGAGCGAGGCAATGTCGACTATGTGCAAAAGTTTGCGACAACAATCACCAACAAATGGACATTGCTATTTATCGAGAATCACGGCAATCCTTATGGTGCGATCCTTGCCACGAGGATCCTGGCTCGACTCTTGTATACTCAGGGCCCGGCTTATTTAGCAAAGTTCAAGGCATCATACGGATTCTTAGTTCTTCAGTCGTATATCCCACAGTTCTGGAATTTTGTGCCGATGATCCATGTAGTGCTCTGTATCCTGCTCGGCGTGGATGTCTGTGAAGTCCCCTTGCGCACTCCATTGGACAATGAAACGCTTCACAGCCTATATGGCGAGTCGATTGAGGCCACTGGTCGAGTTGCCTGCCTCGATATCTTGCCCACGCTGATGACCATGCTCAAGAATGGAGTTGCCACTGCGGTGACACCTGCAAACAGCAAATCTGGAACGCATCAGGATCGAGCTGCACGCATTGTGGAGACGTACCAGACGTTGATCGAATTCTTTATCGAGATGCAGATGAGCTCGAGAATCTTCAGGGAAACTTTTGTTCGCCAGGATTTCATCGACGATATGGCCAGCATCATGTTCCCATTCATCTGCCACAGCTCCAAGGCAATGGTCGTCGAATCAGAGCTGGATTATATTGCGTCTGAACCAGGACAGCATACAAGCGAGTCATCCGGTACGACTGGTATAGCAATCGATGCAGAGCTAGGATCGACAAAACCAGCCTCAGGACGCAGCTCACAGTATTCGTCTGTGTCATCTTACATCGCATCAGAGGCGAAGACCGTCGACACTGACTCGGTACAAGAGTCAGAAATAACGCCTCTGACAAGCACACGGTCGGAATCACCGCCTGCCATAGCCTCAGCCTCCATAGTCTCCATGCCAGCGTCTGCAACACTAGCAACATCCAGTCTATCTTTGACAGCAGCTCAGACAACCTCTTTGCAGGTATCCCAGACGTTCTCGGAGGGATCGTTCAGGAGAGCATCCTCGAATGCCAATATTGGCCGTGTTCGCGATGTGGATCTGAAGATTGTGCAGGAGCCCATTGCTTTGTCGTTGCTGAAGCTTTTCGTTGTCGTCTGCATCGACTCTATCCTGGACCCGTCTCAACGACCGCTGGCGGTCATTGACTTCGTTATGCAGTCCTGCCCACCAGCTTACAAAGGCAAGTTGTTTTTCTTTACGATAAATGTAGTTGTTTGAGGGCTATTCTAACGTGTTTGTCTTTTTTTATGGACGATATAAAAAAAAAAAATAGATCACCAGATCTATTTCCAGAGTTTCCTCCTGGGACATGTTGTTATCGGGCTGGAGCAGAATATTGAGGCGCAACCGGAGGTACTGGCGGACAGTCGCGTCATGGCTAACGTCGACCATTTCTGTGAACTGATTGTGGATCTCACCTGTCAAGGCTGGTTCGTGGGCTCCTACCTCATCCAATTCGACCTTATTGCAAATGTGCTGGAGACGATCTCACACGATATCTCCACCCCAGTTTCGTCCGGACCACCCGCCTCTGCCTCTCGACCAGATGCAATTCGAACACATCTGACATCGCTACTGTATCGCCTCGTCTGCTTCACATTGGGACAGTGTCAGGCTGGAGTTGAGATTCAAACATCCAAACTGGAAGCACTTTTGGATAAGTGTATCTATTTCCAGAAGATCCTACTGAGCCATAGCCCAGGCGATGTCGAGTTTATGAAGTGCTTGATTTTGCATCTGTTCTCGTTCCTACCTGAGGCCGACGCCAAAACGCGAGCTAACATGATGATTTTGATCAAGTTGGTCTTCTTGATGAGACCGATCGAGGCATCTGGGCTGTTGAAGCTGAAGCCTACCCACCCGAGCGACGATGAGGATTCGGTGGACGAAGGATTCAGCGCCTTGGTCGAGGGAGTAAGTCATTGTTGAAGGGGGCATTAATTTTATGGATTGAGTCGTTTTCGTTACTAAGGGCTGGTCTTCCTCTTATCTTAAAATAATAGAATTATGGCGAGTTTGTCAAGTGGCGAGATGCGCATACATTGGAGCTTGAGATGATATTTGCAGAATTTCGTAGGTCCTGGGATACCATGATGTCTATCGAGTCCAGGACCGGCGAGGATTCTCAGCGTCAAAAGTACAACCGCAGGACACAAAAGCTGAAGCGACTTTTCCGCCGACAGCACCTGGAGCGAGATATTCTGCAACAATACCGACTCAAGACTCAAGGCTGGACACGGAGCATTCAGGAGATGGAAGAGGTCCGTTATGCGAAGTCACAGCAGGACCTGGACGATCACGTCCGTTTCGTCAAGAATGAGTGGAAGAACCTTGTGCGGGATGTATGCCGCAAGGGAGCTATCTGGGAGGACAAGGATTCGTTGACGAGCAAGACCCCAACCCGCTGGCGACTCGATTTTACAGAGGCCCGCTCCAGGATGCGGAGGAAATTACGCGTGGATGACCGAAAGTCGGACGAACCTTATCTTCCGAAGCAAGGTGGATCCTCGGCTTCGATGGATGTCAAGATCTCTAACCTGAGTATTCCAAAGAGCGTCAAGTCCAGCCCTATCCCTGCACAGGCCGCTCCCAAGAGCAGGATTGAGAAGTTGAAGGAGGCGGACGTGGCCTCCGTTGCATCTCTTGACAAGAGCCAGGATGTCAAGAGCGACAAGGACAGCATGAGTGATAATACCAGCACTCATCAAGATGAGGCATCGACCACGGGTTCCGAGAACGCTGCCGAAAATGACGAGGACGTGGCTGAAAACGAGAACGACGGGAATGCACCTGAATCTGCAGATGTTGATCAGGACCGTGATGCGGAGCCAGCATTTGAGGAAGCTGCGAACCGCAAGATCCTACGACTGCTCGAAGCTGGGGATGTTGTATACGAGGTCTATAACATGAGTCGCGTCACTGGTCTGGATGCTGTGGAGGGCTTGCTCCTGCTCTGCAAACACAACATGTATCTCATCGACAATTACTTCCAGAAGATGGATGGCGAAGTGGTAGACATCAGGGAAGTTGCTGACTCGGAACGTGATCAGTATCTGCAGCTCCTCGCGTCGAATACACCTTCCCAACAACCGTTGTCAGATTCATCCGAGGTCCGTCACCAGTGCAGGAAATGGCGATTCGAGGATATTAAGGAGGTCCACCGTCGCCGATACCTGCTGAGAAACGTAGCACTTGAGCTCTTCTTTGTAGATGGACGAAATTATTTGATCAACCTGAACTTGCAACAGCGCGACCTTGTCTACAATCAACTCGCAAGCCGTGTGGGGTCTCTAGCGACCAACAGTCTCCAGATGGGAGAGCGTTCAGCCATGGTGGAGCCTAACAGCAATAATAACCAGGCACAGACATCGCTCGGATCCAAGCTCGCCAACATCTTTGCGCCATCTTCGATCGCCGACATCACTGCCAAGTGGGAGAAGCACGAGATTTCGAACTTCCAGTACCTGATGCACCTTAATACGATGGCAGGAAGGACCTATAATGACTTAACGCAATACCCTGTCTTCCCCTGGATCCTAGCTGACTACACCAGCGAAGAGCTCGACCTGACCAACCCAAAGACCTTCCGAGACCTGTCACGGCCCATGGGTGCTCAGACGCCGGACCGCGAGAAAGACTTTAATGATCGCTATCATACTTGGGACGGAGGCGATGATCGTACGCCACCATTCCATTACGGAACCCACTATTCATCAGCTATGATTGTTTGCTCGTACCTGATCCGTCTGGAGCCCTTCACTCAAGAGTACTTGAAGCTCCAGGGTGGACAATTTGATCATGCAGACCGATTGTTCCATTCGATTGGCAAGTCTTGGACTTCGGCCTCTCAGAAGACCATGTCGGATGTCCGCGAGCTGATCCCAGAATTCTTTTACCTGCCCGAGTTCTTGATGAACACCAATGGATTCAACTTTGGGTCACTTCAGACGACGGGTGAACAGATTGACCATGTCAAGCTGCCACCGTGGGCTAAGGACGATCCCAAGATCTTTATTGAGAAGCATCGCGAGGCGCTGGAGTGCGACTATGTCTCTGCACATCTGCACGAGTGGATCGACTTGATCTTCGGATACAAGCAGCAGGGACCGGAATCAGTTCGGGCTGTGAACGTATTCCATCATATGTCGTACGAGGGCGCGATCGATCTGGATACGATCGATGACCATATTCAAAAGTCTGCGACCATTGGTATCATTCACAACTTTGGGCAGACGCCTCGACAGCTGTTCAAGAAGCCTCATGGACCGCGCTTGCCTCCGAACCGCGATCCTCTGGGCCCTAATTACTATAATTTGGCAAGGCACGCCGAGTACTTGACCCAGTCCGTGGTTCCAGTCAAAGGTAATAGTCTAATGGTCTGATCTGCGTTTGTTTCAAGGTGTTGAATGAAAAAGAATAGGGGAATTAAATGCTGTGGCTGTACCATTTCTCTGATAGATATTGGTCTGCCCGTGGGGGAGATCATATATCAGGGAGACAAGGCGTTCGTTGGCCATAGCCAGCGTGCATATGAGCCTTTTGCATGCAGCAAGTATGTGGAATGGGGATTTTCCGATAACTCTGTGCGCCTCTTCTTGACGGAGACTGGCAAAGTGCTGGGGATTTTTGAGAATCTGCATCTGGAGGCGATCACCTGTGTGAAGTGGGCGGATGACCGGACGATTGTCACGACGTCTCGGGACACTGTGGTGTGTATTTGGCGCATTGTGCAGTCGCGATCGTACGAGCTCAAGCTGATGAAGTGTCTGCGTGGACACCGGGAGACGGTTCATACTGTGGCGATCTCTGTGGCCTACTCGATCATTGTATCGGGATCGGAGGATAAGTCTTGTATCGTGTGGGATCTCAACCGACTAGAATATGTCCGCCAGTTAGGCAAGCATGAGGATGGAGTGCGAGTGGTGGCCATCAACGATGCGACAGGTGATATTGCAACGTGTTCAGGGCCAGTCCTTAGGCTTTGGACCGTCAATGGAGACTTGATCCTGCAGAAGTACACGACCCAAATTGGCGACCCGATCCTGGACTGTGTGTTTTACGCTGGAAGGACAGGAGAGTGGGTTCCGCAGGAGCTTATTTTCACCAGTCATCGACGCGGAACGATCAAGGTGTGGGAAAAGGCAGTTGTTGATGCGGAGCACCAGCGCAATTCGTTCCAGCAGGGCAAGGGAGGGGATACGTCAACCAGCTCGCTCAGAGCTCTTTGGATTCGACAATCATACCTTCGTCAGGGTCTCAGGTTACGGATGTTTCGGCCTTCCCTGAAGGCGAATCGTCGACGAACGGAGAGAATAGGACTAATGGCAGCACTACTGGGGCGACATCGCCCTCTGTGGAAGATGAGTCGTCTTCCGGAGCAAGGTCTCGGCAGTCTTCTCAGGCATCGCGTGTCACCAAGTGGGCGCTGAGGTTGCGACAGGCATATAAATATGAGGATCGTTTGAGGATCGATGGAGGCACTATTCCCAACATTGTCTCGCTCTATGTGTCCAGGTAACGTGTTTTCCATTGTTCCGTCTATCTACTTTGGTTTTGTTCAGCAAAAAGCTCTCTTTACAATATGATTAACAGTCTTTATTCTCTTCGTGTTGATGCTACACAGTGCAAGACGAGCGCTGTATACAGGCGACTCTCTCGGTCGAGTATTCGTATGGGTGCTCCCGGATGGAAGTGGCTGCGGTCATTGGATGCAACCAGGTCGTGATACCGTGTGTGTGAACTGTCAGACGCGGTTCCCGTTGCTGGAGCGAAAGTTCAACTGCAAGACATGCGGAGGCGTTTTTTGTGGTACCTGTACATTTGTCCCGATCTCTGGGTTTGCAGAGAAACAGGCGCGGTTTTGCTTCAAGTGTTCTAGTGGCAAACTGAAGGAGCTCATGGGCTGAGCGGGCCTAGTACAAAGGGGGGACTGAAAATCAGCACTAGAAAGTTTTTTTTTTTATTATATATTATTATAACAATAAATATCTCAATTGTCAATCCACTAATTGCTTTTCTCAATGACTGCTACGACAGGAAAAGGTAAACTCTCGTATTGTTGAAAGAAACGATCCAACTCAATGGATGCGGACTATCGATCCTCGTCTTTGTCAGTCCTGGACAAAGCGACCTATCTATTGGCGTTACTATGGGGTTTTTATTATTGTTGTGGATCCGAACCAATGGAAGTTCCTGTGGTTAGAACAGCCTTCCCTGAACGTCGTGAATAACCTCCCCTGGACTCGGTTCCTGCACCGCGATCTACTTCCAAGACTATGCCTGGTTCTGTTTCGACAGCCACTGCCTCATACGAAGTCCTCGTTCTCCTGTCTATCACAGCGCCGCTACCTTCCTCCATACTCCTTTCCGGAGTTTCGTTTTTGGATCCTAATCCTGCTGATCTGGATCTGGAAGCTGAAAAATCCCCGGCCATGGCGGCGACACATAGTTCGATGACGACAAAGATCGCCCCGACGTATGTCACGATGGGACGAATTTCTTTGGCTCGACAGTAGACCACGGCGCTTTGGTTGTCCCCAAAGGCTTTTTCATAAGCGCACCAAGGCGAGAAGTCGTCAGAGTCCATGTCGCCGGCCGAGGTCCCCGGGCTGCTGTTGTTGTTGGCGTAGCCATGGCCTAGACCGGGGTGGGAATCATAGTCATGATGAGTCCCTGAGGCGCGAGTGTAGTTCGTGAATGGGTAGGATGAGTCGTTGCCGAGTGTTGTGCTGCTGCCCACTCCTGATCCTTGGGATGTGTTGTTGCCACCTCTGATGGATGTCCCATTACGATATTCGTCACCATAGTTGTTAACATGGTTTGGGCCACCTTCCACGTTGGGGTCGCTGCCCATGTTGGGGAGGTATCCCATCGGCGGAGAAAGCTGGCGGGCGGGCCAGTAGAGCGCCAGGGCTGCGAGGCCTAAGCTGAATAGGATCCGGAAAACGATGTAGGACCATAGCCGCCGCCGGCTCCAAGTTTTCTTGTTGTTAGAGGTAGTAGTGGTGGTGAATGATGATGGTGGGGGTATTGAAGGTGAGGATTGGATGAAGGATAGGTCTGTAGAGGTCGGTCGTCGTCTGTGCTCTTGAGCATCCTGAGCATGCGTTGGTTCTGTATAGGTCGTGGAAGGATCGTTATCCGGTGGGGCGGTAATAGCAATCCTTGGTGTAATAGTCGTTGTGCGGGAGTGGATTCCTGAAGAGGGTGATATCCTCTCCGGAAAATTTCCATCGACCACACCCCTTTGCCTCCGCTCCTCCGGCTCGATACCGTCAACCGACTCGGGCCCACCTCCATCTTCATTCTCCTCCTCATGATCCTCCGGAGTAACTTGGAAACAACAGCAACACGCCGCCTTGGACGAATAGACCAACAGCACAAACGCCATCATCATCGCAAGCAAATCCGGTGTGAGCAAAAAGGCCATCTCTGTCGATACATCGCTCAGGGACAAGCCCATAACGTTGATCCCAAAGGATATAGTAATCGCATCTAGGATCAGAGACACAAACGCCAGGGCCAGAATCAGCAGACGGATGTTTCGAAGAAGTTTTCGAAAGGATAGAGTTCTCGCGACCCAGTGGAGTAATGCCTGGACTTTTTGCGACAGAGGTGGTCTAACATTAATATTGGTGGGATAAGTTGTTGTATCGGCGGTAATAGTCGCTGCGCTCATGGTGATGATGGTCGAGTGTGAACCTCAAGAGAAAACAGTTGACTTCATAATGGGTCGAGTCAAGGAGGGGATAAAAGTCGAGAACGGTGTCGAAGGAAAAGCAAGGCGTGGGAGGTGTGATAACCAATTGGGCGAAATACAAAATACAGAGCGATGAGCGAAAGGGTGGGAGGGATGGAAGCGGAAGAAGCGAAAAGAGGAAACAGGGTCATTTTCTTCAGAACAAACTTGTTTAGACTGATTGGATCGAAATCTTATTTTACAGTTTTATTGCGGAGCTTATCCCTTTGTCTGTCAGAAAACTTTGTTACATTGATTTGGAGCGGAATATCATTTTAGGGAGGGCGACTTTGCTTGCCAATACTCACTTTGAAGTATTACGGATCTGGAATGTAAAGGCATGAATCAAGGCACAAACTACCCTTCAATTTGCACCAAGGGCATGGGAAGCGGCAGCATAAAAAAAAACTTTTTAAATACAATATTATAGGGAAAAGTTACGCACGAAATACATGTAAAATTCGGAATACCAGACGAAGGGATACCAGGCGCAGTGTCCGCGATAAGGCCCTGACCCTGGTCCCTAGTTCCTGGCTCCTGGGATCAGCCGACTTTGCTTTAACTAACATCCATGTACGCTGCTCCAGTCGTCCGTTCATGCAGTAGATGTGCCTCTGCTGCTCCGTACTGCTGGTAATGCTGCTGATGCATTCCGCCCTGCTGTGCAGCCCTCTCCTGCTTCTCCTTCTGTGCCCTCTGTCGCGTAAGCACATCCTCCAATGTCCACAGACTGACCCCCAGCTGTGCCTGTGTCTCCAGTGGCTGTGCCATCGATCTCAGGAACTTCTTCGCAATCGCAATTCCCATATCCGTCGATAGGTTCACACTCGTGTCCGTGATGTATTGGTTGATCCACTTCGGTAACTTCGACCTCTTATCCTGCCGTGCATACCGCCGATCTGCAAACACCATCAGCCCATAATCCGTCTTTCCTCGCAGAACTCGTCCGAGGCACTGAGCAGCATGGCGCAGTGCATCGAACGTCAAAAAATCGTTCTCGCGTACTCGATGCTCATCTCTCAAAAACTCCAAGCGTGCTTTCAGGATCCTCGATTCAGTATACTGGTATGGAATACCAAACATCACCACAGCACGTCCATAGTGATGATCAAAATCGATTCCCTCCGACACCTTTCCACGAGCGACGGCAAGTAGGATGGCCCCGCGACCATTCTCACACGCACGACGGTAATTGTCTAGAGCAATCGATGTCTCTGCTGCATCAGGCGTCTCAACAAAGATCAGCTTTGTTTTCCATGCCTCCGTTAAAATGCCCTGGTTGAAAAAATGTCAAGCATAAGCAAATCGTCAGTAGTGTATTGCAGCAAACTCAGGAAATGCATGATACCGGTCGTCATTTCAGCTGTGTCACGCACCATTTCATGCCACATAGCGATGATGCTCTCCATGTAGAGATAACTTGGGAAGAAGGCCACAATGCCATCCGGAACAATCTTGCCAAACTCAATCAAGATGTTGCCAAAGTTTCGCACCACCGCTGGGTCATTCCGGACCTCAAACTTGGACGAGATAGCAACCTGGTCTGATCCACGTGTGATGACCATCGGCAAAAAACAGTTCCGTGTCAAGGTCATCGGATAACTCTCCAAGACAGTCGCCTTAAAGTCTAAAATCTTGGGATACATGTCCAGAGGCGAAAGCGTTCCTGAGGTGATGATCACAGACGAGAATCGCTCGAATATAGGTCGGATAGCGATTGAGGCGTCGAGGCAGGCGAACCGCAGGATAGGATTGGGTACCGTCGCATTCTCGGTCTCGTATGGCTCCAAAACCAACATGAAGCCTTTGTCGTACGTTGCTACCAATGTTGCTAGTGCAGCGACCTTCTGTAACGATTGCAGCTCATCCACGTTATTCAGTTCCAATGTGCGGATCAAAATCGATAGCCGTTCTGCGCAAAATTGGAGCGGCTTCTTGTCAATATAAGTAATCTCCTTCAAATGTCGTAGGAACGAAGACGGCGTTTCTGCAGTAACATTAAGAACCCGTAATCGTGTCTTCAGGTACTCGTTAAAGCGCTTTAAGAATGCAACGAAGTGCTCCGCCTTTCGAATGTTTCCTGGGACCGCCTCATGTAATAGATCGTCTGGTAGTGCTGGGTTGGCCATGACCAAGCCATCATCCCGTGCCTGCAGTGTATCTTGTAAACCCTGAACCAGCTTTTCGTACTCGTTCTTCAGCTTTTCTGACCCTTGCTGCTTCATCTGCTCGATTTTCTCTGACAGCTGTGTGATGCTCTTTGAGCTTGCTTCCAGCGTCGGTCGCATGACATCCAGACTCAATGATTCGATGCAGACGTTATCTAAAAGCCGAAAAGAGCATATTCAGCTGTTAGATGAATTCATGCTGGTTAGTACGGTCACATAAATTAAAAAACGCGTACGTACCGATATTATGCGCCTCGTCGAATACAACAATCGAATCTTTTGACAGCTCTTTTGATATCAAATCCGCAATCTTGGGGTCCAACATGTAGTGGTATGAATAGATGATAACGTTCGAATACGCTAGCTAAAGGACGGATGTACGGGCAAAGTCGTTCAGATGCTGCTCAGCAAGGACATATTACAATAAGTGCATGATGTAAGTAATCACTTACCATGCGCCGCGCCATGTAATATGGACATATGCCCTTGGATTTTCCCATCTCCTTGATGTCGTCTAAAGTGTAGATGGCGTCCGCAACTTCCTCCCGAAGATCAGCATTCTCCAGAGTCTCATAAAACGAGCACGTCTCGACATCCTGTCCTGCTTGTGCTGCCTCTCGCACCCACGGTGCTGTCAAATTGCGGCAACGGGCATCTACAACCTTGCCCTTCTTCTCTTTGCTGACCGAGGGGTGAAGACACAGATTTCGACGACTCGTCAGTCCCAATCCCAGAATTGTCTCATTTAATCCGCAACTCTTTCTATATTCGATCAATCGCTTCAACTCGGCCAGGGCCTTCTCGATCTCGGGTACTGTACGCGAGCAGTAGATTAACTTGCGTTTTTCTGGGTAAAACTAGTATAGTCATTAAAGGAGGAAGGGGGGATAAAAATATGCGTTAGCAAAGGAGTGTACTACATGGCAAAATTGGTGGCGTAGAATGTCGAATCAAACATCCTCATTCGTACCTGTTGATATGAAACGATTAGGGACAGGAGTGATACCGTCTTTCCTGTTCCTGAGGGCATCTCCAACACTCCATGACCCTGTAGGAGCAATGAGGATGGGGACAAGGCCAAGAACAGAGCGTGTTAGCATATCCTGGTTTTTGCAGACTGAAAACCCTACCGCAGAGAATTTTTCTGCATCCAACAAAAGAGATAGCTTTCCGGGGTAACGCACCTGAGCATCGAGGGTCTGTTTGAGAGAGCACATGTAGGCATATTGCTCTGGATAAATCCTGTCATACGGGAAGTAGACTGGCAGCCCATCGATTTCGAACCTAGGAAGAAAGCATCAAAACGAACATGCATCAGAGCTTGCGTCGCTGTTTGGGGCAGGCCATTGAAAAGTGGGTTTGTCCTAGCACTTGATGGTGTCGGGAAAAGTGGTTTGGTCATACAGCATGATGTATGGCGAACTCTTGTCCTGTTGATTATGGCTATGTCCTGTTGATTATGGCTATGTCCTGGTGGTGTTTGCGATGGAACAATGCCGGCAAGTAGAGAAGGAAGAAGGAGCCAGGTCAACTACAGAGGGACGTTCGCCACATGGACTACGTCACCGACTGTGGAGAGTAGTCTGAACTTTTCCGCACTAACTCGCTGATTGGCTCGAAATAGCGTTGGGTTTTATTGTTTTCTCGCGTGCGGAAATAATGAATGTGCACTACAGTGCATTTTGCTGAATGCTGCAATTTTCATAGTGAAAGTGCAGCATTTCGATTAAATTGAAATATATTAAAGGTGTTATTCAATCGATTTTATTTCTGCTTGGATTTACGGATCACACACCTTGCTGCCCTTCGGCTAATAGCGTCCTTATCCTTGAGCATCTCCACCACCGTTATTGCAAGACTCTGTCCTTGGTACATGAACTTGAATGAGTCGATAGCATCTTGCTCGATTGAGGAACTCCTGTCTCGTGGGCCATACCTCTTGGCGATCTTATTGCGCAACTTCTGCTTGATCTCCTCTGCCATATCTTGGGCGTCCTTTTGGTTCTTATCGAGAGAAAACTGGATCCTTTCTCCGTCCATGACTGAAGCAATCAAGCGCACATAACGCTCCTTGACTCGACTTGCGTCAGTGTCTGGCACAGGTGGATACATTGGTGTTTGCTCCTCCACGTCCAACGATTCCCGCTCCAGCCTGTCAACTTGCGCCTTTGAAAGGACCCCCGCTTTGCAAAAACAATGCCTCACTGTCGCAGCCTTGACATGAGACCACGCGTATGGAATAAGCGACCATGCCTCGCCGTTGGTAATCTTCCTTCCGGTGGCATACTGTTGTGTAACTGCTTTATTGCTGAGCATCTCGAGGTATTTTCGTTTGAATACACTGATTATCCCTTGATCCAAAGGTTGGGTGACGGATGTTGAATTGGGTGGCAGGCGCCCGATCTGAAGATGTTTAAATATCTCTCCTACAAGCGGGTCGTTGTCGCTAGGCTTGCCGTGTGCCCCACATGAGTCGATAAGCAGAAGACTTTTTTTCGTGAGTATGTCATCGAGAGCATGAAGCCATTCCTTGAATAGCCTCCCGGTCATGTATCCTTTTCCATGTTTTAACGAGGTGACAGGAACCTCAGGGCATGGTTGGATATTTCGAGCAAGATGCGCGCCTAGAATAAGTAAAGAGACAAAATAATTAACATTTATTTTTTTTCTTCGGAACAATGATACGACGTGTTTGAGGGCTTACTTATGACAAGAGGTCTCAAGGCCTCTACTGCTGCTGCTCGGGCAAGCGAAGATCCAGTAGCATTGACACAGAAGAGAATCGACACTCGAGCTTCTCCCCGCTCTGCTTTGGCACCACTCACAAATTCCTCCGTAGTGTAAGAGTGTGTGGAAAGCTCCTTAAGGTACATGCCAGTCTCATCGCAGTTGTAGATGTTGTCGGGCTCGAAGTTAGAGCATATGTTGCGGATTCCCTCCATTCTTTCTGCAATGGCGTCCTTGTCGACAGATCCCGCTTCTCCTTGAAGACTGCAGTAGGTGACACTATACTCTTGGGTCATCCTCGATCGCCACGACGCCGTGAAAGAAATTGCACGACCATGATGAATATCGTCGATGCCGCAAATGTCGTCCATCAAAATGTGAAGAACGGAATCGGCTGCAGCCTCAAGCTGGAGACCACTAACAACGCCATTGTTTTTTCGAACCTCCAGCAGCCAACTGTAGATGGTCTCATCCATGATATGTCGTAATAGGTCGACTGGACTTTTGGAAAGCGTGCACTTATTGCCTCGACCATGCGCCACATCAAACTTGATCTTGTCGAAGTCCTTGTCCCACTGTGTGATCGACATTCT